AATAACAAAAAAATTATAACACTGTGAATTTTTTATTTATTTATGCATGTTGATTTTTGTTGTTGTTGTGATTAGTTTATCTAATAATTATAGAACTCTAAGGATTAAGAAATTTTTATGAGTAATGTTGGTTATGAGTTGTTTTAAATCGAGGTCAAAATTGATCAAGTTTAGGGAAAGTTGGAAAGAGGAACTTTGGAGCCATTGGTAAACCTTTTTCCCTCTTACTCCATAATAGGACTTTGAATCTTTCCCCAAAGTTGAGTTGAGTTATGGTGTCGTGATTCAAAGCTTTGAGAGTTGAAGATCAAAATGTTGGTGTTGTTGTGTGAAGTTGCTAGAAGGATTCATGCTCTTAGTCTTCCTTCTTCCTCTTTTTAGGTGATTTAGAGGTAAGAGAAGCTTGTAATTTGTTGATTACTACTTAAATAAATCTTACATTGGTTGAGTTGTTGTTGATTGGAGAATTAAATACCTTATCATTTGAGTTGTTGGAAGTTTTGAAGAAGAGGTGGCTAAATCCTTGATTGTTTATTGTTGCACGTTGTTAAAAATGGTGTTTTTAAATTATTATACTTGTTTATATGTCTTTTGTGGTGATGCATGTTGGTGAGTTGCTAAAAAGTTTAGGTTTTAGAGTAAAGATCGTGATTCTACCAAATGCAAAATTCACCATTGTGTTAAGTGTAACTTCATGATGCTAAGTGTGATGCAAGTCAAAGATTCTCTGCCTCACTGACATCGAGTGTAAGATTGGTAATGTTGGGCATGGTTGTCTTAAGGGTTTTTTAACTTGGTGATGTCAACCCTCGATTTGAGTGGCATCAACGTGATTTAGGTAGCAGTTTTTTACTTATACGATGTCAAGCGCAAGTTGAATAGTGTTAGGCATGAGTCAAGCAAAGACACTTTGTTTGAAAGAGGCCAAACATGGAATTAGCTACGGTAGGCATGATTAACACATGGGCTTTCTACCTAACCTACGTCATGCACAAGTAGAGTGTCATCGAGCATGAGCGAGTCAAAGGCTTTTTGTCTCAATGAGTCAATGACATTGGACATAGGGATAATTGTGTCAAGCATGAGTTACCAAATGAAAACTTGATTGTTATTTGACTAAGTGTTGAACAGTGTTGAATTGATTGAAGTACTCATATGATGTATGTTGAACTATGATTCTAGTTCATTATGCATTGGTTTTTGGATAATGTATAATGATGTTTAAGTTGCTTAAAATTGAAAGTTGAATCATGGTAGAGTTGTATGAAAGGTAGTGTTAAAAGTAGCTATGTCATGGATGCTTAATGCATGTATTTATGCTATGTTGATTGACTTAGGATTAAAAGAGAGGTGTTATTTTAAAAAATGAATATCCTGTTGTGAAGATATGATGTTGTGGTGCTTGACAAATCTAATTGTTGAAAAACCCTTTTTGAGTACCTATCTCTTGAAGTTGAGTGTTGATTTTCCTCTAAATCCTTAGTTAATATAGTATGGGGGTCAAGTCAAGTCATACTGATTAAAAGTGACAATTGTAGAACCGTATCGGGCAAGGTCAAGCTATATGTGTATGAAGTGATCAACCAAGTAAGATACAAGGTTAAAAGCTAAAATTTCTAACTAAGTACTATAAGGAACACAATATTTGGAGAGTAGTCGGTAGACTCAGATATGCATGTTAAGGCTATGATAAACTCACACCAAACTATTTTATGCTCAACAAGAATATTAAACCTCCCCAATTTAAGTGACAAAATTTGAAAAATCATGTTGTATTGTGATTGATATCCAAATTTATTGTTGATTTAACAAATCTAAAAAGATCGTGTGTTTTAAGTTGGCTTGATAGGATTAAGCCACTTAGATTATTCACCTGTGTTGTAAGAGATTTCTTAGTTGAAATATGTGACGACAGAATATAATTATTGTGTTATGTATATGTTGTGATTGATGAGTTGTGTTATTCATATGTTAAATTGATATGCTGATAAGTTGTATGGTTGGATTGTAAGTTGAACTACTGTCATGTTGTTAAGTTGTAAAATCATGTTGATATGTTGTTCTATGTTGTTAAGCTGAGCTTTAGGCTATTTTGGAATGTTAAGTTATTGTTGGAGATGTTGTACAACTAGTTTAATATTTTTATACTATGTTGTTTCTTTTGAATCTTACCTTTACATTTTTCTTGTGATTGGATTGTGGTGATTATTCTTGTTATGGGAGTAGGGCATGAATAAATTGGAGGATGTGCCTGTTTGAGAGCCATGCATGAGGATGAAGGGGTTGTTGGGCTGCTTTGATGTGGTTATTTTTATAGTAGTTGTTTGACCTGTTTGACCAACAACTTAAGTTTACATTTGCAATCCATATATATATATATAT